ATTTGGACAAAATGGATAACTTCTGAGCTGCTTTATACCCTTCCTTGGTTTACCCTTTGAATAATGCTGAGACTGGCCATTTGAAAAATATAACAATTTAAGGACGGGGAAGCCAGAGAGGAAAAATTACTTTTCGAATCTGAAAAAAAACTAGATAAAAATATTGAATAAACAGAAAAAGGGGAAATTGTTCCCATTCTGGTTTCGGAAGGGGGCGGGGATTATAACGTCTCTCAGTGCCAATTTTATTTATACATTTAAATAAAAAGTAGGGGCGGATTGGTCTTTCAATACACATTTTCAGCAGTATATTTGATTTCATTGTCGCAAACCACGCGCCCAAAATGTACGATATCCTATCATAAAGCGGACTTAGGACCATGGCTTAAGACGATGGTTTGATGTAAGACGGGGGGTGGGGGGGGGGGCGCACACCTGATGCTACTAAATGTGTATGTGCCCGACATAGAAATATTGATTATATTCCAGGAAGGATGTGTACATCCAATAATTTTGCCAGCATATACTCTTCTGAAAGAAAAAAAAAGCTTTAGACAGTACATGGCACAATTCAATAAACCAGATCTATTCCGGTACTGATCTTCCATGAGTGTGACTGACATAAGAAATGACCAATAACGTGTACTGCTGTTCAGGATGTTGCAACCTTTCCATTCCTGTTTTCTCAGGGCCATCAGAAGCAATTCAATTTGGGGGAATATATGTTCAATAGGGAAGGGGGATGGGGTACATGTACATGTGCAAAATTCATTTATAAGCAAGAAATAAAAAAAAATGATACTACATGTTACAACAAGAGGCCCAGCGGCCACATCGCTCACCTGCGCAACTGACTATGTAAAACCTAGAAGCAAAAATCAGTTAAGTATTGAAAAGTTTAGATATAAAAGTGGGTTCAAGGGAGGAAAAGGTGGGGGGGGGGGTTATTTGAACAAACTTCAATCTATACTTCCTACGGATATTTTTAAATAAAATTGGTACATAATGGCTTTGCTGTTTAAAATAAGAGCAATAAAGCCTTAATGTTCCTTTGCATAACTATGATCCACCTTTATGGCTCCTCCATTCTTCTGGTTGGTCATGATTTGAAAAAATTTGAATGTACACTTCCAGAGGATGCTTCCATATATAATTCTGACCAAAGAGTGCAAAGATGATTGTTGGTTTTGTATTCATGCATGTTTGTTACGTACGTGGTCGTTGATTTTGCTTTAATGTATATTTGTTGTGCGAAAACGTCTGTTGATTATGCATTGTATATAATTTGTTAAGTTTTTATGGTCATTGAAATTAAAATAATTGTTTATTTTCACATTATGGTAATTTTTGCCCTTTCCGCTGCCCATAACAATTGTAAGAGAGAGAGAGAGAGAGAGAGCCACCTCCATTCTCATATATCTGTTATATCGAATAAAAAATCATATTTTTTTCCTAAATATTCCAGGCAAAGTAATCATTTTTTGAAGATTAACAAATCCATTTGACAGTAGGCACTGGCTTTTATTTTCCTTCATCAAGTTCACACGGTTCACGCGAAGTCCACGTGCTTGTCCTGTCAATCAAAATCATTCGACACAGGGGTGGAGGTGTGGAAATCTCGTTTCACCGAACATGCGGAGGTCAAAGAGTCACTTAGTATTTCCAAGAAGTTTTAACATTTTTTACATAATTTCTACATCTGAATTTCGCAATTCAGAAGACAAAATAATGGGAATCTATACCTGGAAGGATTAAGTATGAAATTGAATTTGAAACATAGTCTCTGCCAATTTAAAATACTACTGTTGGCACATGTATATTTTGAAATACTATTATTTAATGACTGTACGTTTTGATGTTCGTTTTAAGACTGATTTTCTTGTGTCATAATACACGTTAAATATTAATTATAATATACTGAAAATACTAACCAAGAATTATATTTCGGGAGAAAAGGCGCGGGGGGGGGGCTTATTAAATCATTCTAATGTATTACATTTTAAACAATTGGGTTTTTTTTTCTAAAATCACACTATCAATTAAATTCGACCTAAAGATATTCAATTAACTGAATATCTGCAGTACTGTTCATAATTCTCAGACGTACATGTAGTTCCATCATGTTTTCGTGCATTTTTTATATACTTGTTAAAAATATTTTATTTTGTGTATTCTTGTCTTGTAAAAAAAATTGGATTATTATCCATCCGTTAACGATTTGTCGTCTTTTACATTACAACAAACAGAAAGACAAATGGACATGAAGTCTATAATATAGTACTTCCCGTCTTTAAAAAAAAGGGCGTATAAAAAGCGTGTTATTAAAAAGTTAATTTAAAACATCATACGTATGTGCAGAAAATATCGAAAGAACTTACATTAATAATTTTTTTTCAAATACATGTATCGTCTTTCTGTGGAATTTTCTTAAATCTGTTTTATGTAACTGATTATTTATTAATTTATATCTGTTAATTGCTTATTTATATTCTAGCAGCTTACATTAAAATACAATAGAATAGTTTCAATGCAAGGAAAAGATCAGTGGGAACCCGAATAAATTGTTCATCTGGCGTTCACCTTTCGTTCACCGTTCACTTTGCACTCGCGTTTTCGCTTCAATTGCGTTCTGCGTTTGCTCACCGTTCGCTCTGCGTTCGTTCGGCGTTTGTTCACCGTGCGTTCACTGTTCAGGTGGGAATGTGGAAAGTTTCAGGGACTGTAGCTCTCTTAAGTACGTATCAACAGCTGAAGTTTGATAACACTATCTTGGTGGCTTTAAAACTGAGCTAAACACTCATTTATAATAAGAACAAGATGTGTTTGTGAAACACTATGCGCCCGGCGGCAACAAATTTTTAAAACAACATATCTTTAGCATAAAGGTCACAGTGAAGGTCACAAGGTCATTGATCTTGATGTGATTTGAAAGATCTTGATTAGTGAAGTATGCGTACCAAATATGAAGTCTCTATCTTTTATGGTTCAAAACTTATGATGAATGTTCAAAAAAGATATTTTTAGCATATAAGACACGTCAAGGTCACAATGTCATTGACCATGGTGTCATGTGAAAGGGCTTCATTAGTGGAGTAAGCATGCCATATATGAAGTCTCTATCTTTTATGGTTCAAAAGTTATGGTGAATGTTCAAAAAAGCTATTTTTAGCATATAAGACACAGTCAAGGTCACAAGGTCATTGACCTTGGTGTCATGTGAAAGGGCTTCATTAGTGGAGTATGCATGCCAAATATTAAGTCTCTATCTTTTATAGTTCAAAAGTTATGGTGAATGTTCAAAAAAGCTATTTTTAGCATATAAGACACAGTCAAGGTCACAAGGTCATTGAACTTGGTGTCAGGTGAAAGGGCTTCATTAGTGGAGTATGCATGCCAAATATTAAGTCTCTATCTTTTATGGTTCAAAAGTTATAGCAAAGGTTAAAGTTTGCAATAAAACCTCTATTTTTAGCATATAGGTCACAGTCAAGGTCACAAGGTCATTGACCTTGGTGTCATTTGAAAGAGCTTCATTAGTGGAGTAGGCATACCAAATATGAAGTCTCTATCATTCATGGTTCAAAAGTAATGGCGAAGGTTAAAGTTTGCAGACAAACAGACAAACAGACAGACAGACAGGACAAAAACAATATACGCCTCGGATCTTTCGATCCGGGCGCATAAAAATGAGTTTAAGGTCAAAGGAAAGGTAAACAAAAATGTTGATGCAGTTGCATAGCTCTCATTAATGTCTAACAGCATGTGAATTTTGATGAAAATATCTTAGTTTCTTTAAAATGAGCTTTGAACTGAGCTAAACGCAGTGTGACAAAAGGACAGAAGGAGGACCGGAAGGATGTAAGGACGGAAGACGGACATGACAAACACTATATGCTCTGGCCATATTCATGGCGGGGCATAAAAAGCATTCTTATATAGCAATCCGCAATTTTATACCTATCCGATCAATATGTTTACAGCTTTGCTTTATATTTAAGGACAAACTAATTCCATAGCTCGAAATATTTTAAGCCAAAGTTCAAGTGTTATCAATATTAAGTCTATATCAGAAAATTTCATCGAAAGCAACGGGAGTCCATAATACATGCAGGAAACGAAATTGATAACTTGAGTTATATTGGGTGTGTAGGAAATTCAACATTTTGATTGAATTTAATTCAGTGAGAAAATTTCCATATTTTCCAAGCAGAGTTACCCATCATCATATAAAAGTGAGATATTTAATTTTCACTTATCAAATTAAAATTGTAGATGTCTGAGCTTGACCCCCCAATACCCATCGAGAGGAAGCTCTTCGTTTATCCCCACTTTGCACCTCAGGTGAAATCTGTGACTTCACACTAGAATACACTTTAGCAGAAAGGAATATACGCCACTGAAAATGGACTCCATTAGAAGCTCACAAACGTAAGTTTTAATGACAAGAATTTATAATTCTAAAAAACAATTTCTGAATCATCTGAATCAGTGTAATATGTTGACAGTAAAATTGGTTTTAACTTTTTACACCACTGAATTAAAAACATATCCTTTACAAAATATGACACTTTCAGTTATAAATTTCACTATTTAAAAAATGAATGATTTAGTTGAGTAGAAAAATAACTGATTCAGATTAGGAAATTTTATTTTTATTTTATGACATATGTATGTACATGAATTTTTTTTTTATTATGAGAAAATATACACTGTCAACACTTTTTTTTATATAAATAATGATTTAATAAGCTTATCAATTATGATGCATTTAATCATATTATAGATTTTAAAAAGTGAAAAATTAATAACATGTTTACGCGAATATAAATTCCACTTTAATCATTCTCAGTACTAAAGCCATACAACGCATATCAGAGTCGGTGTTTGTGGGACTGTGTCATAAAGTGGGGACCTCGCAACTGGTGGCCATGAGGAGAGATGTGGTGGACCTCAGGGATATGGTGATGAATCGAGGGAAAACAAATAAAGACCAAAGTGTGATGATAAGTGGAAGTTACAGAGAAGGCTTCCGACTGAAAAAAGGATCAGATATGGACTTTATGCTCTGGCATAATGATCAGCGTATTATCTGGGACCTATCTCAGTGTCAGTATTACACCACACACAGACAAACACTGCTCCTTTGTGACTGTTCTGATAGTCCACCAGGGTACACTTTACTTCAATTACTGACATTAGGAATTAACAAATATGTTCAGTTGGCATGTTTTTTGATGAAAGATAAAATCTATGTATCCAGTTCTATCACCAGACTGTTCAAGTATAGTGAGGCATTATCCAATACTACTATAGTAAATGGGCCATGTGTCAGATATTGTTTTGGAGATTTTATTGAATATGATTATGCTCACTGTTTTGCCTGTGACTTTTGGCCTCCATCTGCCTCCTCATGGATAGACAGATGTCACTCATGGCCCCAGCCTCATATTGTTAATGATATAGTGAAAAATGGATGTCACTTTGTAGCCATAGGGCATAAGGTAGGAAATTATGAAGACAGTGAATGGAGAATTTCTTTCTCTCAGGCAGAGCACAGACTTGTTTACTCAATGAATCACTCCCAGTTCTTAACTTATGGCTTGCTTAAGCTTCTCCTTAAAGAAGTTATCAACATGGGATTAAGTGAAGAGGATAAATTACTTTCCTCCTACCACATCAAGACAGCAGTTTTCTGGGTGATTCAACAAAATACATTACAGCAATGGTGTCCACAAAATCTCCTGGAGTGTTTCTGGATTTGTTTTAAACTCATCCTTAAGTGGGTGTATGAGGGGGTCTGTCCTAATTTTTTCATTCCTCAAAATAACATGTTTCTTAGTAAAGTCCATGGTGAAGCACAATACTCGTTATTTAACAAACTTTATGGAATGTATAAGAAGGGTTTAGCATCTTTCTTGCATGAACATTCAATAATGAAAAATCATACAAACAACCCAAATAATCATAATCTGTCCACTTTATCAGATGACTATAGCCCAGATTCTGAGATTGATTTCGATAAACAAGTGTTCTGTAGACACAGTATGCCTACCTTGCCAATACTAGATCTGAACCATTGCATGATGTACCTGAACACTGTTGGAAAATTGGTAGATTCCCCATTAACACAATATAAAATTGTCATCTTAAAAAAAATTACAATATTTATCCTCACAAGCACTGCATTTATATCACACAACATGTATAGTAACTCAAGTGTAAACAAAATGGCATATAAAGCCAACAAAATGTCCTGTCATTTGTTGAAATTAGCTGCTAAGTTTGGTTGCATTTCTGACATGTTGTACTTAGCCATGTATTATTACCAAACTTGTCGGTTCAAACATGCATTATTTGTTATAAAGATTACAAAAGGTAGGTTATATCATTCATCTGTGCTGTATAGGGATTTTATAGACAAAGACAGTTATATGAAGGCTGTAGGGGGACAGTCCTTGTCTACAAAGATGAGAAAGGCTCTAGCACAGGATATACAACTTGATAATAAAATCTATTATATCAGTGAACTGATACCAGAACAACAGTCTGCTCTACAGAACAATAAGGCACACTTATATATATCACCATTTGTAATGTTACACATGTTAGAGATCTTGTGCTACAGACATGTGGACACAATGAGAGCAATACCAGCTCTATATGAACTACAGACCCTAGTTCACTATGATCAGGGACTACTTACAGATTTAAAAGACAGAGACATATCGTGGCAGATTCTGGGATCTGTCAACAGGTGACAGGGAACCTCCAGGCTGCTCTGTACTCATACCAACAATCTCGCAGACAAACACCGACCAACAAAATACGCACAGCTACAGAAATGAGAATACAGAGAGTTTGCCAAGGGATTCCCGTAATTAAGGTGTACTTGTAATATCCCTCTGATAAGAGAGATAACTTTCTGAGGACTATTTTCCATGAAATTCAATGAATCGTGTAGCCAGATTTTACAGAATTCCTTTGTTTGGTTTAAAATAATTTATTCAGCAAATCAATGACATATTACATAATAATGTGTACATTTTAAAATAATTATATAACAATAACAATGTTTCTTTACAAAAAAGTATAAGTTAAAACATGAATGAAATCAATATGAATCGATGGACATTATATATTGCACTTTGACTGGCTTTATTGATGTACAAAAAGTATTGCTTTTATTTTCTGAAAATGAATTAAATTGATGTACAAAATATTTTATTTTTACATTTCAATATTGAAAGACTTTGTTTCATGGACAATGGATATTTATTGTATGAGAAATGATTAAACTGATGGATATAACTGAGGGATATTTTACCTTTTAAATTAAATTTCAGATGATATTTTTAGGAGTTCAACCTAATAGAGAATAAGGAATAACTGTTGAAGTGATTTTTAACATGTCTAAGGCGGCCTCTGTTTTTGGAGGATAGCTTTTATCCTCTAAAAAACAGAGGATAGAGGTGTCGCCACCTACCGGACTTTTCAAAACAAAGGGCAGTCTACGCGGATTTTTTAACCAAAACAAAAAAATGGGAAATTTCATGCGATGATGGTTAAATCTAGGTATTAAGTTTGCTGTTCTGAACGGACTACAGAGGGCAGAGCTACATTCCCTTCTGTATTAGCCTTGTATACTGTTGTATTAGCCAACTAAAACGGTCAAAAAATAAGTCTGATTCAATTTATCAAAAGCACGTACAAATATTAATTAAATGCTGATTTTTTTTCCCTATTATATATTTTGGAGAAATATTTTCCAAGCAATGTATAATTTCAAAATTTCTCAATTTTTTAAAATTATTCCTAACAGAATTTACACATTATATTTCGATCTAAAACGGAAAAAATCGTATGTTGGATAAGTTCCTGCAAACATGATTGCTTTCCCAGCTATAATTGTGTCCCTTTCAAATAAAAGTAAAGTCTATGGGTTGACGGATGCTACATACATTAGGTGAAATCCGCACCCCCTCCATTCTCCTCTCTTCTCGTGCAAACTCATACAAGTCCCTTCTTAGCCCCCCCTTTATTTTTTAAATTAATCTTTAAAAATCTCGTTTTAATGTCGCATTTCAATAACACAATAAAAATCTGTGACATCTAAGCCCTTTGAAGAACTGTCTGTATCTGTATCTAATTAAACTGAGATTTTAAGAACCCTGAAATAAATTAGGATCAATCTCCATCTACAGCAAGGTTAAACCGTCCTCCTTATCAGTTAAGACTGAATAAAATTCAATCACGTCTATCCCGATGTCAAAACTAATCTGACTAAAACTTACTAGTATGATGTCCGTGGAAATATATGATGCACACTTCCCGTAGAGGCCTCATATCGGAAATTGGATGCTGCACAGCTATAAAGTGGGCGGCGGTGCTTTTTGTTGATTTCTCTGAATAATACTTTTCATCTTTAAATTGTTTTATTTGCTAAAATTATCAGGCAGAGTGTATTTTTTCTTTACAACACGTTTTCTTTTGTGTTTCCTTTTTCTCTAATTTTGAATTAAATGAATATAATATTATGTATGTATTGTTTGAGCATTTAAGTGTCTTTTTATTTCTCTTAGAGGTAAAGGGGGATAGGGAAAAAACAAAATTAAACAAAATAACAAGAAATATTAAGTAGAAATGGAGCGCAAAAAGTGCCATCTTTGAAAGCGTTTTGTAAAAATTCTAGACATAGAATCTCAAATCGCCACATACAATCGTTTGAACTTTTATTTAATTGTACTCTGGTGCTTCCACTTTTTGATTAAAGGTAGGCACGAGGCGTTTGAAAATTACCTGTGTTATAGTCTGAAAACAGAAAATAAACTATCCGACATTGAATTGCGGTTTCCATATCTGGTAAAAAATTTGCCGCCATATTGAATTTAGCGATCCTCCAAAAACGGAGGCCGCCCAGACCTGTTTAATGAAAATCTACTTTGTTCATACATTAAAAGAATTATAACAATTATATTTTTAGGAATGAAAAAATAGCCACCAGATTTATATATACGGTGTAAATTGGGTTGGAACAGCTTACGATTTTTTTAATATAAACTCCAGCGTTAACTGCCCAACTCAGTTATACCGTATAAATCTGGTACTAAGAGGGATAATTCAGGTCAATTTTCACTGCATCGCTGTTAAAAAGAAAGATATCTTTCCTAGTTTAATGCTCCTGTTTGATTTTACACTGAAAAAAGCAATTGAAAGTCACTGGGAAGACTAGTAAATTTACTGTCCATACAATCACAAATGTTATCCTTATTCTTAATCCTTAGGAAAAGTTGCAATCTTGTTGTGTATTAATGAGAAATATTTTAAAAACCTTTAATCCAGAAAAATAATTTTATTCAGAGTAGAAATGTTAGAAAGCAAAACTCCTTCACAAGTAAAGTCATTCCGAACTAAGAGTTGTGTACAGAGTTTAGCAATTCAAGCACACTCGTGTTATGAACAGTTTTTGTAAACATGGCACGAGTTCTGTTATTTGTTGGTGTTTACAATTCTCTGGGTGCGTTCAATCGTCACAGTCTGCTTACCACAACTACACGGACTGATAATATATTGTGTGTTTGTTTTGCTTTCGAACATACCTAGTCTGAATTTTATGGATTTTAGTATTGATATTTTTCATTTATACACAACGAGATTGCCACTTTTCCAAAGGATTAAGAACAGAATTAATTCGTGAAAGAGCAAGGATGAATCAATCAAGCCTGCCAAAAAAATTGAAGTCTTAATAACTTTTAAATGAAATAAGATTTTTAATTAAATTTTGTGTGAAATGCTATTAAAATATATAAGTCGTAATATTATAGAGAAAATAATAACTTCAAATCTGTGTCTAAGTACCTTTAAAAGTAGTTTTACCAGGTATTGGGTAGATTTTACTAGATAGCATTAGTAAATCTATGAATTTCTAAGTAACTTTCACTAGGTATTTAAGTATCTTTACGACCACTACTCCAATTTTCACTATCTTAGCTAGTAAACAGAGTGATTACTAATCACGAAGAACACTTTACTAGACACGCTAGATAAATCAACTAGGAAATTCTTTCAGTGTACTTGCATGTGCATCATGATAAAACAGCTGAAAATAAGAACCTTAAATTAATTAAAACTTTCTGTAAAAACTTGTTTGTTTGACCTGATTAAGATGAACCGACTTAAATCTTTTAAAACCTTCAAATTATTCATTTCAGAATTTTCTCATGCAATCAACAACTTTTTTTAATTTCAGAAATGCTTTCAATCTTATTCAACATTTCCGACAAAAAGAAAAAAATCGACCTACCTACCGACGCAATTTTTTAAAACTGAATAGAGAGTTCTAGAGGGCAAATAAACTTCATTTTAAAAACGGCCTTACGGGAAATTTTAACCACCCAACCTTTTACATGTATTTCCGTGTTCCGTACTTCAAGGGTTCTTTGACCTTTTGATTAAAATATATTTCTGTGACATATTAAGAAAGTATTACATCTAAAAAAAAAATCCAAAATTTAAGCTAAAACTACTAGCCTGTTATAAAAATCCATACCCTCTGATACTAAAAGATGCTTCTGTCATAGAAATATATTTTAATCAAAAAGGTCAAAGAACCCTTGGAGTAAGGAACACGGAAATACGAGGGTTGTTAGAAAAGTTCGCGGACACATTGAATTACGGAAAATCTATTGTGTGCTGTGAAGTATGACCTATGTCTGAATGAATTCCTACATTTTGATTATTAGTATGTAAAAAATCAGGTCCATATAATAAAATCTTGAAATTTTACAACTATTTTTACTATGGAGTCATGGGATTCACGGAGCAATCACCTGACGTAAGCGACGTGACAACCATATTTCAACCCGTTAAGCTTTGTCGCAGTTATATTTATAAATCTTTCATTTCTTAGATTTTTCTCATCTTTTTTCTACTTTAAAATTGAATATCTACATGTTACTTTTCTACTATAATGTCTTTTGTACTGATTCGTATATTATTGAGATCGTAAAAAATAAAAAAAAATCTATGCAGTTAGTCGATCAGGTATGAAAACTATGCAAAACCATATAGACGCAAAGTCTATGCGATAATAAGGGGGTATTGAGGTATCCATGGAGTTAATCATTCAAAATGTCCCTCCTTCCATTCTTATGAAGCTATAACCATTTGAAAATTTGTTCTTTGTATGTGTAGGAAATTCCCGGCGGCATCTTGAACATTTTAATCTCTTTTAGACATTTTCCTGTCTGCACACATAATTTCTACGTAGTGCAGTGCTCCATGACGTTCCGATTTTTGGCTGTCTTTTTACGCGTTGATCATTTATAAACGGCTATAAAACAATCATATACCATCCAATTTAGTTCAAAATTTCTCCCAGTGACGTTTCCTGCATACTTAAGCGGCAGGTAAAATATCATAAATCTCTTTGCGCTACAATTGTACAATTCTTAATTTTAATAAAGAGTCTTTGTGATGTAAACGTGCCAAAATGTAGCATGCTCCGTGAAGCAAGTTTTATCAAAATAAAAATGCTGTATATTTTTCAATAATAACCGGAGAGCACCAACTTCTTGTATATTTATTGGAAAAAAGGTAAAGATTTTATCTGGAAAGTTTGACCGGTTTCGTGGAAATAGCGCGCTCACAATAGAACTTGTCCGCGAACTTTTCTACACCCTCCGTACATGTAAAAAAAGGCGGGGGGGGGGGGTGCCGACCCCAAGCACCTGTGAGATACTTTACAGAAGTGATTGAGACAGCTACCTAGCCTGCCTACATTGAACTCATTAATTAATTTTGATCAGGATGCATGAACACTACAGTCCCTGAAACGTTCTACTTGCCCACCTCAGCGGTGAGCGAACGCTGATGAAAGAACGGTGAACGAATGCAGAGCGAACGGTAAGTGAACGGTGTGTGAACGCTGAACGCAACTTGGTGAACGATGTGTGAACGGAGAACAGTGAGTGAACGCAGAACGCGAACGGAGCGCAAACGGTAAGCGGCGAACGAACGGTGAACGCAAGATGAACGATTTATTCGGAATGTCTCCGATTTTTTCCTTACATTGAAACTATTCTGTTGAATTTTAATGTTAGGTTCTAGAATATAAATAAACATTAAATAAATAAATGAATAAATAATATTAAAACAAATTTTTCTGCACATACGTATGATGTTTTAAATCAATATTTTAATAAAATGATTTTTATTACCGCTAAACATGTGTAAATGTTACCGAACATGTGTAGTATAAAAGATAAAATAAATCTACTAATAAAATAAATATGCTTATTCTTTTAACTAATAAAATAAAGTAGACTCCAATAGAGAAAAGTACTACTTATAGAATGAATTAATTATATTTTACCACAGTTGTAAAAACCATATACATGTATTATATATTTCGGTGCCAAGGCGATTCCGTGTAAAATAACGATTATTTTCTTATTAATTTACAAAGGTCAGTTAACATATTGCATAAATGCGCTTGTTTTTTAAAATTTTAATGCAATAATATATATATATATATATATATATATATATATATATATATATATATATATATATATATATATATATATATATATATATATATATATATATAGATATAGATATATATATATATGTCATTTTTATTTTTTATGATTTTTTTTGCAGCAAAGTTCTACATGTATATCTGTAGACATTTTCCGTCCGTGATTGTACTGATAATGATTAAGATGATGACAAGAGGCATTCAAATTATTTGCAATAGATTTTCAGAACTAAATACATGTAAGTAAAATGCTGTCATAGTTTTTATTAAACAGGGCAAATATAAGAGAGAGAGAGAGAGAGAGAGAGATTTAAGCCTCCTCCACTCTCAGATATCTGTTGCACCAAATACAAATTCTTATTATTTTTTCTAAATATTCCAGGCTATGAAAGTAATCATTTTTTTGAAGATTAACAAATTCATTTGACAGTAGGCATCGGCTTTTATATTCATTCATCCAGTTTAGACGGTTCACTCGAAGTCCACGTGCTTGTCCTGTCAATCAAAATCATTCGATACAGTGGCGGAGGTTCACCGAACATGCGGAAGTCAAAGAGTCACTTAGTATTTCCAAGAAGTTTTAACATTTTTTAACATAATTTCTACATCTGATTTTCGCATTTCTGCAGAAAAAAATGATAATGGGAATTTACACCAGGAAGGATTAAGTTGAAATTGAATTAAATTGAAATCGAAACATAACGTATGTGCAGAAAATATCGAAAGAACTTACATTAATAATTTTATTTCAAATATACGTATCGTCTTTCTGTGGATTTTTTAAAAATCTGTTTTATGTAATTGATTATTTATTAATTTATATCTATTAATTGTATATTTATATTCTAGCAGCTTACATTAAAATACAATAGAATAGTTAGATCAGAGGGATTCCGAATAAATCGTTCATCTGGCGTTCACCTTTCGTTCACCGTTCACTAAAATTTGCGCTCGCGTTTGCGCTTCAATTCCGTTCTGCGTTTGATCACCGTTCGGTCTGCGTTCGTTCAGCGTTTGTTCACCGTTCATTCACTGTTCAGATGGGAAAGTGGAAAGTTTCAGGGACTTTAGCTCTCTTCAGTATGTATCAACATGTGAAGTTTGATAACACTATCTTGAATGGTATCTTTAAAACTGAGCTAAACACTAATTTAAGAAAAATGAGTTCAAGGTCAAAGGAAAGGTAAACAAAAATGTTGATGCAGTTGCATAGCTCTCATCAATATCTAACAGCATATGAATTTTAATGAAAATATCTTAAGTTTCTTTGAAACTGAGCTTTGAACTGAGCTAAAAGCAGTGTGACAAAAGGACAGAAGGAGGGAAGGACGGAAGACGGACATGACAAACACTATATGCTCTGGCCATATTCATGGCCGGGCATAAAAAGCATTCTTATATAGCAATCCGCAATTTTATACCTATCCGATTATGTTTACAGCTTTGCTATATATTTAAGGACAAAACTAATTCCATGGCTGGAAATATTTTAAGCCAAAGTTCAAGTGTTTTCAATATTAAGTCTATATCAGAAAATTTCATCGAAAGCAACAGAAGTCCATAATACATGCATGCAGGAAACGAAATTGATAACTTGAGTTATATTTGGTGAGTAGGAAATTCAACATTTTAATTGAATTTGATTCAGTAAGAAAATTTCCATATTTTCCAAGCAGAGTTTCCCATCATCATATATAAGTGAGATATTATTTTCACTTATCAAATTAAAATTGTAGATGTCTTAGCTTGACCCCCAATACCCATCGAGAGAAAGCTCTTCGTCTATCCCCACTTTGCACCTCAGATAAAATCTGTGACTTCACACTAGAATACACTTAAGCAGAAAGGAATATACGCCACTGAAAATGGACTCCATTAGAAGCTCACAAACGTAAGTTTTTATGACAAGAATTTATAATTCTAAAAACAATTTCTGAATCATCTGAATCACTGTAATATGTTGACAGTAAAATTGGTTTTAACTTTTTCCACCACTGAATTAAAAACATATCCTATACAAAATATGACACTTTCAGTTATAAATTTCACTATTTAAAAAAATGAATGATTTAGTTGATTAGAAAAATAACTGATTCAGATTAGGAAATTTTATTTTTATTTCATGATATATGTATGTACATGTATGTGAATTTTTTTTATTATAAGAAAATATACACTGTCAATACTTTATTATAAATAATGATTTAAAAAGCTTATCAATTATGATGCGTTTAATCATATTATAGATTTTAAAAAGTGAAAAATTTATTACATGTTTACGCGAATATAAACTTCACTTTAATCATTCTCAGTACTAAAGCCATACAACGCATATCAGAGTCGGTGTTTGTGGGACTGTGCCATAAAGTGGGGACCTCACAACTGGTGGCCATGAGGAGAGATGTAGTGGACATTAGGGATATGGTGATGAATCGAGGGAAAACATGCAAATACCAAAGTGTGACCATGACAAGTGGAAGTTACAGAGAAGGCTTCCGACTGAAAGGATCAGATATGGACTTTATGCTCTGGGCAAATGATCAGCGTGTGATCTGGGAATTATCTCAGTCTCAGTATTACAACACGAACAGAATATCACTGATCCTCTGTGACTGTTCTGAGAGTCCACCAGGATTTACTTTGTTATATTTAGTGTCACCCAGCATGGACAGAGACATGCTTAGCGTTAGTGTTAGAGTGAATAACAGATATTATGTATCTAGTTCTAAATACAGACAGATCTATTTATCTGTATTGTCACCTGAATTCATTCCTCATGGACCCTGTGCCACTCAAACAAAAGGAGCACGGGAAATAGATAATGCCTTCTGTTTGGTTTGCGACTTTTGGCCTCCATTTGCCTCCTCGTGGATAGACAGATGTCACTCATGGCCCCAGCCTCATGTTGTTGATGATATAGTGAAAAATGGATGCCACTTTGTAGCAATTGGACACAAGCTAGGAAATCATGAAGATCATGAATGGAGAATTTCTTTCTCAAAAGCAGAACATAAACTTGTTTATGCAATGAATCACTGTCAATTCTTAACTTACGGCTTACTTAAATTGTTCTTATCAGAAATAATTAACAATGGACTAGATGATGCTGATAAATTGCTGTGTTCCTATCACATGAAGACGGTAGTTTTCTGGGTGATTCAACAAAATACAATACACCAATGGTGTCCACAAAATCTTCTGGAGTGTTTTTGGGTCTGTTTGAAACTCGTCCTCAAATGGGTGTATGAGGGGGTTTGTCCTAACTTTTTCATTCCAGGCAACAACATGTTTCTGAGTAAAATTCACGGCGTCAAACAACATCAATTATTTATGAGACTGTCAGAATTGTATGCGAAGGGTTTAGCATTCCTGCTACATAGTCCCTCCATTAGATCTTATATTATAGATGTCCTCTATAACCCAAGAAACTCCATCTGTACAGATGATCATACTCTGTTTTCTGAGGTTGAGTTTGATAGATATCTGTTTAATGAATTACTAAATAATCGTCTAGGTTCATCAGCCGAATGGGACATAAAAATCTGCATTAGATATCTACATACAATAGAACAGGTGATAGGTTCACCCCTCCTGACAAAGTATCAAGTCCTCAAGCTACAGACCATTACTGCATTCTTCCTTCAGAGAACTGCTTTTATATTACACATGGACGCTGACAACAAACTGAGGTATAGAGCAGACAAAATCTCCTGTCACATGCTGAAATTATCAGCAAAGTTTTGTATTATCACAGACATGCTGTACATAGCCATGTATTATTACAAGACATTTAGATACATGGAAGTTTTATCTATAACAGAGATGATCATTTTCAAGTCTTCACACCCATCTGTGTTAGGGTCAAATGTAAATACAGAAATGTACACTGAGGCTCTAAGGGGACAGTCCTGGTCTACAAAGATGAGACAGGCTAATACAGAGAGTTCGCCAACGGATTCCCGTAATTAAGGTGTAATATCCTTCTGATAAGAGAGATAACTTTCTGAGGATCATTTTCCATGAAATTCAATGAATCGTACGTGAAGTCAGATTTTACAGAATTCCTTTTAATGGGGTGGATGGGGGGGGGGGTAAAATAATTGATTCAGCAAATCAATTACATATTAAATAATAATATGTACATTTTAAAACAATTATATAAACAATAACAATGTTTCTTTACAAAAAAAGTATATGTTATTTTTAACATGAATGAAATCAATATGAATCGATGGACATTATTTATTGCACTTTGACTGGCTTTATTGATGTACAAAAAGTATTGCTTTTATTTTCTGAGAATGAATTAAATTGATGTACAAAATATTTTATTTATATATTTCAATATTGAAAGACTTTATTTCATGGACAATGGATATTTATTGTATGAGAAATGATTAAACTGTTGGATATAAACAGAGGGATATTTAAATTATATCTTAAACTGGCCCATTTTTCGTAGAATGACTGACATGTGCTCATCATTAGTTTTAGCTCACCTGAGCCGAAGGCTCAAGTGAGCTTTTCTGATCACATTTTGTCCGGCGTCCGTCTGTCTGTCTGTCTGTCCGTAAACTTTTCACATTTTCGACTTCTTCTCAAGAACCGCTGACCCAATTTCAACCAAACTTGCCACAGAGCGTCCTTGAGTGAAGGGGATTCAAGTTTGTTCAAATGAAGGGCCACGCCCTCATTCAAGGGGAGATAATTGAGAATTAGTGAAAATTTGGTGGTATGTTTTAAAAATCTTCTTCTCAAGAACCACTGTGCCAGGAAAGATGAAACTTATGGGGAAACATCCTCAGGTAGTGTAGATTCAAGTTTGTTCAAATCATGTCCCCCGGGGGTAGGGCGGGGCCACAATGGCCAACCAAAGTTTTACATAGAAATATATAGGAAAATTCTTTTAAAAACTTCTTCTCAAGAATGACAAAGCCATAATTCATCATATTTATATGGAAGTATGTTCAGGTAGTGTAGATTCAAGTTTGTTCAAATCATGACCCCCGGGGGTAAGGCGGGGCCAAAA